CCTTACCAGAAGATTATGGTGCTTCTATTCAAGATTATAAATACTTAATTTTGCATAAAAACATGTTGCAAGACACTGGCAAAAAAACGTAGTCATAATTTTGGCGCAAAAAAGGAGATGGGGGTTAAAATAATTTAAAATAGACTTGTTCTGCTTTCAATAGGTCTGATTCTGGGCGTTGAAGACAAAGAATGTGCGCCACACAATATGTTAGCATGAAAAAAAATCACTTTTCTGTTATAACAAGGCAAGATTGGGCCCCGATGAAAACTTTTAAAAACTTTGAAAATCTTGAGAAACATAAGAACACACATATTAAGTAATTGATAAACAAATATAAACGAAGCTTCGTAGCGGTGTCTGAAACTATGGTGCATTCGAAAGTATATCAGTTAAGCATTTTTCCTTTCATTTAAGCCATGCATGTTGAATAATGAAAAAATAGCAAACGGCAGAGCGCAATTATGAAAATTGATTTTGGCAAAAAAAACTGAAGGAAACCATACTTTTTATTGACGGCAATCAAGGCAATGTAGTTTAAATCAATTCTAGACGTTGAACTATCCTGAAAACTTAACCCAGCAGGGTTTTAAGAAAGTCGTTTTGGCAGATCGCACCTACAACTATGGTTTTTTTAGGCAGAGTGCACTTAAAAAACTTTATAATTTTTGTATAAAAATACAACAAACGTATTTTTGATGAAATAAAATCTTACCAAAGATGCAGAAAGATATAATATATATTTGAATTTATTGTACTGACGCAGGATGACATGGGTAATTTAAAAAATTAGGCTTCATCCAAAACCTTAGTTGTTCCTCTATTAAAATCAGTAGGAAAAAGGAAACTTTCTGAGAACATGGAATTTTTCAAAAAGACACTTTTCGTAAAAAATTTAAGACGTAGCTAATTATGCACCGAGGTTTCCCCACAAACAGTTGGCTCTATTGAATCTTTGATATCAGATTCAGCTGAGTAGTTTGAGAGAGAAGTCAAAACATTTCAAAAAACGGACAAGAAACAAAAAGTTGGGCTATAAGGCTTGTCTGAGGGCTATAATTTTTTGTAGGAACACTCGGGTGTAGCCGCTTACACAGAGGAGCTTCTCTCAACCCTTCCTTTTGATTGAACTCCAAAATTGAAATTAGCCGCTATTGTACGAGGAGCTTCCAATAACCTCTTCATTGAATCCAAAACAGCTCAGTTAGTTTTCGAGAAAAGTCGAAAAGTTTCAAAAACGGTCAAACAATCAAAAATATGACTTTTCCAAGGACAAATATCTTTTTCTGTGTAGATCATTTGGGCACAGCCGCTAAGGTAGGAAAGCGTCCCACAATCCATTCTCTCCAATGAGCCCAAAATTTCCGAGGGCCATAAATTTGTTTAAAAAATTAAATGTAGCCGCTTATGCAGTGGAGCTTGCCGCAACCCATTATATCTATTGAAGCCATTCGCACAAATTTAAGGCTACTTTTGAGAAAAGAAAAAAATTTTGTTCAAATATTCCCCCACAGAATTTTTTGCATGCTGTAGAAAGGGAGGTATGATAAAAGAGAGTAGGAGATTGTGCAGTCACACAGAGGAGTGGCCCGTCTTTAAATTGGTTCTAATTTTTTTTTAAAGTGAAGTAGTTTTCAGAAAAAACTATAACTTTTGATAAAAGTGAAAAATTTTTCCAAAGCGTCTCAAAAAAATAAAAAACCAAATCCCATACATTTTCATAATACCTGTTTTTATCAAACCTAGCCAACAGTTGGTTGAAAAGTGTAAAAGACTACTTTTAACCATAGACTTTCAAAGAAAAAACATACCACGTTGAGCCTCCTTGAATTTCAACATTTATTTTTTTTCTGATTGGCATTTTTTGTTAACTTATCCTTTGTAGAGAAAACTGGATTAATAAATAAATTTTATATTCCGCTGGAAAATCTGCAAATTTAGTCTTTTTTTGAAACTAGAAGTCATTCAAATTTTCATGATTTTAATACTGTTGCTGCTAAATAGCGGTGTTTGTCTTCATTGTTTACAGGAAATGCAGTGAACTAAAAAGAAAGCATCAGTCAAACCGCGAAAAACAAAATTCGACGGTGAACAAGAGTTAAACATTCTTAAAAAAGCCTTTTCCAAAAAAAATCATCGCGACCAAGGGACAATAACTTGTTTTACACTTAATAATAAATCATTCCAACTAAAACAATCCAAGGAATCGCAACGAATTGCGCAAAAGAGTGAATTAATCTTTTTTCCATTCAGATAAGTGATTTCCACATTTAGAGAATTCACGAAATCAAAAAAAGAACATACTTTATTTCGGGTCGCTTTATTAAGTGACACTAACTTTAAACAAGGTTCGCATCTTCTATCGGAATAATACAGCGTTGAGATACGAATGTGATATTTAAATGTAGTAGTATTATGTTAAAAGGGCATTAAATGGCATGGAGGTTAAGGAATTGAACGGTGATAACATGAATAAAGTTTTTTTTTTAAATTTGGAGCCCGGTCAACGGATAAGTTAAACGGCTCATCGCGGAGAACTGCTGTAAAAAAAAAAACAGAATTTATCAATTATCAAAATAATAAATCGTTTCCAAGTGAAGTCATTTCACGGCCAAAATTACGAATGAAGAATTCTTTTTACAAAAACATCACGAGAGAGCGCTTTACGACTAACATAAGCCTGTTCATAAGACTAAATTAAGATTATTCTAAATTTAAATTGCTCCAACCTTGAACACATTTGAAGAGGGGGAGGGGGATGATGAATCGGAGAGGTCGTGGAGATGGTAGTGTGGGTTGAACTGGGGGGAGGAAGAGGAGAGGGAGGATGCTGCGATTAGAAGACTCTGTTCGGTTGCTGTGACTAAGGCTGAGCTGCGGCTGCCCGCATCCTCATCGCTCCCGCTCATCCCCGCAACTGGTGACCTTAAAGATACAATCATTCATTGAAAATGTTCTCAACATAGAATCTCTTAGTGTTATATAAATCCCGTAAATCATTTTGGTAGACCTAAAAACCAGCACAAATCTTTTCTAAAGTTTGTTATGAATGTGTTCGGAACTTTTTTAGACCTAAGAAAAGGTAAAAAAAAACACACCCCATTCGAGAAAATTTTAGATCGGCGCCTGATTGATTTGACTTCCACTATGTTGAAGTCAATTAAAACAATGCAAATGGGCCTTTTTGGTTAGTACCGCGACAAACCAGTTCGCTAAAAAAAACTAAAAATTTGGAAGTATTTCCCGAAAGCAACAACTCGGGGTTACACACTAGCATCTCCACAGGATATGCACATATTTTTTCCCTGAAGCAGTTCAGATAGTTTGACACCTACTAAGGCTTTGTATTACATTTATTTGTCGTTCCGACCACTGAGAGACTTGCATTTAATTTTTTCTTTGTTTATTATTAATATTTGAAGACAACTGTGGTCGATTATGATTATTTAACTAAACTTCTAATCTTTCGGCTTTCCTTTTATCACCACGCACAAAAACCGGCACAATTCTTTTTTGAAATTTTTTATGAATGTGTTCGGAACTTTCTGTGCTACTTGCACAGCAACCGGCTTCTCTTGTTAGCCAGCTGTTTTATGTGGAGCTGTCTAATTATTTAGCCTTTTCTCATTCTATCCTCTAGCAAAATATAGCCCCCTTATAAAAAACAAACTTTTTCCGTGGGACTATAACTTTTTGCTGCGAGGTGCCGCATTGCATCTTTGGTCACATATCCCTAAATTTCAGCAAAGATACTTGAAGCAAAATGACTCGATCTCCTTTTTCTTTTCATGAAATGTTCTAAAAAAGCAATCAACTGATTCAGCTGATCACACAGACAGCATATATTTTGCAAACATCTTTAGTTACACAGTAAGCATGGTTTACTGTCTATAGCTCAAATCACACATATACAATCCATTTTTTATACAGTTAAAACCTTTACAATTTAACATGAAATTTGAGAATCACCAAAAAAACGACATTTCAGGCCTTTTTACTTTTAAGGACTGGTTTCCTTTTTAATGTATATGCAAAATATTCAAATCATCTATAAAATATTAACCGTTAAAGCAGTGTCAAGATTCCGTGAATACAGAATGCAAATTAGGGGTAAATTTTCTGGAAATCGCAGAGCTAATAGTTGATTCCATTTTAGTGATAGTGCCAACAGCTACCATATGTTCAGCTTAGCTATTCAACAAATCAGATCTACTTGTCAATTTCCACCACTTCAAAATAGTTAGGAAATAGGAATAGGTTCATCATACCAATCAGCAATTAGAACAGAGACCAATCTATTACCATGCTAGTCGATAAGCAAGCCCATGTAAAAGCTTGAAGTTGACTTGTTTTCTCAAAAATTATGAGCTCAAAATTTGTTAGCGCAAGAAAGAAAGCTACAATGAGGTACTTTTTTAAAAACGGATTCAATAACTAGTATAAATGCGCAGAAGCCAGCTGACGAAAAACAGAATGTTAGGAACAATTTTGAGCTTTAAAGTTTTTAAACTTCTCTCTATTTTTCATTCAAACAACGCATACAGTGCTGATTTAAATTATCCGGACAAAACGAACAAAACTTGAGTTTTCAAACGCGTTTTTCTCAAATTGGGTTAAAATTAGACAAAAATAGAAGAGAATAAAAGTTGCTTAGAATTTCCTCAGAAATAATATGGTGTAATTTTTTCTGAAATTCTCAACCAAAATTTTACCCCAAAAATGGGTCATTTTGGCTTTTTTCAATTCTTAAAGAATTACGCTGAAAATACTTTGTTAATTGATAAGAAAGTTATATCACAAGAAGCGTCTTACACAGCCCAACAAAGTTTAAGAAGGGTTAAATCTCCAAAAAGTAGAATAAGAGAAAATTTTTTTACTTGATAGTCAATAAATGTGGTTTTTACTATATAAAACCCAGTACCTCTGTTTAAAAACAAATTTGAAACAATTTGCGCAAACTTTTGGAGATTTGACCCTTCTTAAACTTTGTTGGGCTGTGTGAGACGCTTCTTGTGATATAATTTTCTTATCAAATAACAAAGTATTTTCAGCGTAATTCTTGAATAATTGAAAAAAGCCAAAATGACCCATTTTTGGGGTAAAATTTTGGTTGAGAATTTCGGAGAAAAAATTAAACCATATTAACTCTGAGGAAATTCTAAGCAACTTTGGTTCTCTTCAATTTTTGTCTAATCTTAACCCAATTTGAGAAAAACGCGTTTGAAAACTCAAGTTTTGTTCATTTTGTCCAGATAATTTAAATCAGCACTGTACTAGGTGACTAAGCCGATACAGTATACCTCGACTTGCACATAATCAGGGTTGGTATTTACAATTTATATAACTAAATCAAAATGTCTTTTAATTATAGTGAAAAATTAATACATGCCCTTTATCATACCAGTCATAGAGATTAGCTCCAAGCTACAAAGTCCAAATTGATACCCCGGAATAGATATAAAATAAAACAGCTAAATGATTCTTTGTATTTGTCAAACCCGTTGTTAATCCGAAAAGAGTAAAACTTCTGATTTGATGAAGCTTGCTAAGAATATTTCAAGAATATTTTGCACCTGACAGTTTTTAAAATGAACCGAATTAGAGAAAACTGTGTCATTACTAGGGCCAATCTTATGCTGAAATGGTTACACTACCAGAAAAAATTTCAAAATCCAATAATGTTAAACATGCATGAGCAATTTACGAGCTAACCAAAATGAAAAAAATGTAAGATTTTTCGTAACTTATATTTACAATAATATTCATTTTAAGGACAAACATAGCTAACAGACAGTTGAAAAAGAGCCAATAAACGCAAGGAAACAGAAAATATACATATTGACTTATTTTTTGAAAAAAAAAATCAATTTTCGAAACGAAGTAAAATATATGGCCTTAAAGCTCTTTGAAATTTAAGTACAATTTATGTTTTTCACTTTTCAAACCAAAATTAACTCAAATGAGAAAACTGGATCGATAAAGTTTTTATGACGCTGTGAAAACTAAAGATAGCCTACTGACTGTTGGAAAAAAGTACTCAACGCAAGGAAACAAAAAAACTGACTTGTTTTTTGAAAAAAAGCTTTCGAAGAAAAAATAGATGTCCTTGTAGCTCTTTAAATTTCTAGAACAATGTATGATTGACAATTTTTTTAAAATAAAATTAACGAATTTGACAAACACTGAATCAATAGGTAAAGTTTTCATGCCGCTGGGAAAACTAAATTTAGCCACCTGACTGTTGGAAAAGAGTAATGAACGCAAAAAAAAAACTGAATTGTTTTTGAAAAAAAAATCAACATCAACTTCCAAAGAAAAGAATAGATGCCCTTAAAGCTCTTTGAGCTTCTAGAACAATTGATGAGAGGCAAAAAATTCACGCAACCTTTATAATAAGACTACGTTCATTGACTCGGAGTTTTCAAATTCATTTCGGCATTTTTAACTGCGTCTCTAAAAATGTTATGACTGATCTTTCAAGTATAATCCGAGTCGAGAAAACTGGTCAGAATAGTCGACAAAGATTTTGTCTGTAATGATTCTCAATTGGAAGAAAAGACGCCAGAAACAATCGCCTGCTATGAGTTATTTTTCAGAACACTTATCAAGCTGCAACTAAGCCAACAGACAGTTGGAAAAGATTCGGTGAACGCAAGTAAACAAAAAAAGTACGGGCTTATTTTTTGAAAGAATCGTAGACAAAAATAGTTGCCCTAAAAGCTCTTTGAATTTCTAGAACAATTGATGACCTGCACTTTTTCGATAAAATTAACCTAATTTGAGAAAACAGGATGAATAAATAAACTTTTTAATTCGCTGGTAAAACTGAAAACTAAATTCCATTTTCGTAACTAGAAATCGATCAGGTTTTTCGTAACCTTTTAACTTTCGCTGATCAATAGAGGAGTTTGCCTTCCTTTTACACAGAGGCGAAGTTGCACTTCACATACACAAGCAAAAGTATGACCGATAACGCTACTGGGAAAAACTGAATGTGTCTGGCAAAAATTTCTTACGTGACGCACGCCAATTATGAGGCTACATAATTGCTAAAAGACGCAAGCCAATTATGACGCATTAGCAGTACCAGTCAACTTGAAAAAATACATTACCAAGTAACATGCCTCAATTTATAGAGCGGAAGCATTTTAACTAGCATACGAAAAAGTTCATTAATAACATCCGACCCTGCCCAGGTTCAAACCCTCTTAGTTTGTTGCTGGTCTCCTTCCTTAACTCTACGTTACACATCCATGATAAATTGAACTTAAAGTGCTATTTGTAATAAAATAGTCTGTGTTAAAACCCGTAACATTGGCTGTACTTAATAGCTGCTTATTGATCTTATGAACATACTGCAAAAAAATAACATAGCCAACTGACAGTTGGAAACGGGTAATCCACTGAAAAAACTGATTTGTTTTTTCAAAAACCTCCAACTTTTGAATTTCAGAGAAAAAAGTAGATGGCCTCAAAGCTCTTTGAATTTGTAAAAAAAAACTTATGGCGGACACTTTTTTGTTAAAATTAACCCAATTATTTCGCTGGAAAATCTGATAATTAATTTCCATTTTCGAAATTAGAAGTCGATCACGTTTTTCGTAGCCTTTAAACGTTTGCTGTTCAATTGTGGGGTTTGTCTTCCTTTTAACAATGGAAAAGCACTAAATTTGAAAAGAAATCAAAAGTCAAACCGCGAAAAATTAAAATTGAGCGTGAGCCAATTTTCCTGAAAAAAAAAAACATAAAATCATGAAAACCTATATAAAAGACTGACCACGTTCATTGCTCCTAAAAATTGAATCCACTTTTCAACTAAACTCGTTCAAGTGTTATGCGCCATTAGCAAATCTTTTACTGAATTTAAGCGTGCATAACTTGACTTTCTGCTGCAAAAAAAATCAAAAAACCTTTATAATAAGACTTGTTCATTGACACTTACTTGCCGACGTCATTTCTTAGCGAGACTAAATTTAGCAGAAAAAATCTAAATTTAATGTTCCTGCTCACTTTCAGTGATGGGAACAAAAACCCTGCTCATTTTTACAGTCAGTTAGTTTAAAGTTTAATTCCGTGGAAAAATTCATATCACAAGTTTCGCCTCTAATGCTAATCGACTTAGGGCCTGAGATATTTCGATTTTTCCTTTTTGTTCAAAACCAAACACATTCGGCTAAGATAATTCAATTCGGACTTTTAACTGCGTCTCTAAAAAAGTTATGACTGATCTTTCATGTATAATCCGAGTCGACAAAAAAACTGGTCAGAAAAGTTTTCTTTTTCTGAAATATTTACATCGCGCTTATCTCTTCTTACATAGCCTCATCCCTTATTTAAAAAAACTAATACTACAATTATGCTTGTTCCGACCATTGAAAGTGAGAAGGAACTTTTGTCTTCGGGTGTTTTTGTTCTGACAATTGAAAATCAGGAGGAACTTTATATTCGGGTGTTTTTTTCCACGCAAAATCAAGTACCACAAATAATCAAGCATCACAAATAACCATGGGAATGGCATGAGTGTTATAATAATCATTAAACTAAAGCCCTTTCAGTCGCAATTCGATCGAATTCTAAAAAAATTCTAATACGTTTTCTCAGTTTCGAGAAAAATTAGTTTGAATTTTTGGCTATTTTCGAGCAAAAAAAGCATGCGAGCAGGCTTCATGTAGAAGGAAAAGCCGTTAAAATTTTATTCAAGGCCTGAAAATTTACTTTTAATCCAAGTTAATAAATGATGAAGATTTTTAGCGCCACTTCTGCAAAACTCGACATAACATGTCCAATATGCCTATTATACTATGACTATCGAAAATGCCTAAGTACTAGGCTTTCGCTCAGATCATTTCATCACACGACGCCAAAAAAAAACGACAATAATTTGAAGAAAAATCTTTTTTGAAAATTCTTGAAGAATTGAAGAAAATTCTTTTTCAAGAACATGGTCATAACATTCTATGCTAATTTGTCTATGATCTGCTATCCGTTTGACGATCAGCTATTTATTTTCATTTCATTCGTTATTATTCAGGTTTACAAAAGTTTACTTTTTAAAAAATGTTATTTAGTTTTCTGCAATAATACTGAGGTCGCAACATCCTCCTTCTTGCGCAGCAACCGGGTATACTTGTTTAAGTCAAATTTGTAATTTCAGAAAAGCAAAGTTAAAATAAATCAGATTGGCTTACTTTTCTCCTTCATGTCAATAAAAGAATTATAATTTCTATTAGTTCTATTTTATACCGCTAAATTTTACCTCCATAGATTAATCTCGAATGAAGAAGCACTGACCTGAGTTGATTTTGAGAAAGGTGTGTGTGAGTAGGGGTATGCTGCTGGCCATGATGATGCTGGTGTTGGTTGCTACTAGACGATATCCCGGAGGGTGACATCTGGTAAGCACAGGTAGATGAAAACGCAGAGCTATTATTATTCTCCCCTGTTGCTGTATTACACATTGGAATTGTACATCCCGAGAGAGAAGAACTGCAGTGGCTGCTCGTGTCCCCTCCACTGCCCCCACTGCAACTACCCTCTCTTGTGTTGCCACCTGCTGCGGTTGTTCCGTAGAACAGGCTGGCCGCCGATGCCTCCAGTTCCTCCTTCATTGATATGTCACTGTTCGCTAAAAACGGCAAAACATAGGCCACTGACGGTTGGAAAATTGTCAATGAATTCAAGGAAACCGAAAAAAAAGACTGTCTTATTTCGAATATTTCAAACTTCGGAGACAAAACATATGACGCTTAAGCTCTTTGAACTTGAAGACTCGTTTATGATTGGCACTTTTTTATGAAACATACCCGATTTGAGATTACTGATCAACAGATATATATTTTTTTTCACTTGAAAACCTAAAAATTAAAAACCACTTTCGAAACTAAAAGTCATTTCCGAAAAAATGCAAGAAAAAGCGCTATATAAGTGACTTCACTAGTTTCATTGACACTTAAAAAACACTCACCTTGTTTTCTGCCTAAATTTTTAACCATCACGAAGGTAATCTTACTGTTTTTCCAAAATAACTGACTTTTTACCTCATTAAACTCTATATAATAATTTAAAACAATTTTTTACCAATACACTATGCTAAGTTATGGTGAGGCACTCAATAAAACTTAGAAAATCGAGCTATTGAAATTTAAAAGTCTAATTTACAATGAAGAAAACTAGCGGAAAGAAGCTTGTTTCCCTGACACGGCTACTTATCAAGACAAAAATAGCTTTCAAGTATTTTCATCAAATGAATAATGACTGCAAAAACTTGGATTATTTAGCATGACAACACACTCAAATGGTGCAAAAACTGTTGTTTCAGTTTGGAAAACCGATTATTAGGTCGAGCAACTAAGTTGAAAACTGCACATATTCATCAAAAATAAAATCTTATGAGTAAAAAAGAAATTGTCAGAAATTGCCTGCTCTTTGTCTGGTCCCCAAGTTGCATAAAATTTTTGCGTAAATGTTAACATAAATTTTTAAAGGTTTATGTATGAAGAGCGAATAAATTTCGAAGCTGGTATCTAGATCAAGAGCAAAACTATACACATAGACGAAGCTGCACCTCGCAAACAGGCGAGAAACGGGCAAAAAACGCTCTAAAAGTGAAGAAGAAAAGAAAAGGTAAAACGCACAAAAATTCTGCGATGTGCCGTAGTCGAACCCCCGAACTCGAGATAAGAAGTGAAATGTCCTACCATTGCGCAATCGCCGCTTAACAATAAATAAATACCAGGTGACCAGCTATAGCTGAAGATATCTGCTGGTAATAATTAAAAAAATAAATGTACTGACCCGCAAAAGCAAAAGGTAATGCCAAATTATTAAAATGTGATAAAATGTCAAAAAATGATATTTGCCAAGACCATAGCTGGTTCCAATCATAAGTACGGGGAACACGCTGGCGCAGGAAACACTAAAACAACTGCTTGTTTTGGAAAAATGAACAGTCCAAGAACGAGTCAAACGGTAACATATTTCTTACGTCAAAAGCGTATTCCAGATGTCTCAAAGTTTTCAAAAGGGGCAATTTTTCGGGCCTCAATTTTTTACTACTAAAATTAGGGTGTAGCCATTTAAGCAATGAGGAATCCTACTTTGTTTTGCGATTGAACATTTGATCTCAGACATGGCAAAGGAATTGTTGAGAGGATAGAACAAGACTGCTCGTATCCGGGCGAAGCCCTGAATGTTCCGACTGCCTTTTAAGGTCTATGGAGCAGTAATAACATGAAAAAACTAAATGTAATAAAATTAAAACCAAAATATCAAAAAAATTGTGATTTTTGTGAAAACCATCCCCCCATACGCCATATAAAGTACAAAGTGATAAACTTCACTCCTTATACCAAATCAATTATACAAATAAGCTTCCTTCAACCAATTTGGAACGATTTCTAAGACGGATTAAATCTCCGCTTACGCGTTAATTGTCTCAAATTGGCCACTATGGTAATCTTTAAACCTCCATAACTTTACGAAAAATGATCAAAGGTAAAATTTCTTTTTAAATTTAAGCTCAGGACAACAATACCTTTTGAATTATTTTGAAAAAAAACCACCCCGAGCACAAATATTCCGTTACGAAAGACGGAACAACAAAATATCGATAATTCCCAAGGCCATTACTCTTTTCCTTTACACTTTTAGGGTGTAGCAGCTTATGCACGGTAGATTCCTAATAATAGGTTCCTTTGATTTAACCCTTTATCTCAGATTTGGTATGTTACTTTCGGGAAATCTAAAATAAGCCAAAAAATGCTTTAAAAACTTCCCACATTGAAATTTGGACGCCGTAAAATGTCGGGTAAAGTAAAAAAAGAGACCAGCAGAATATCCAGGCGCACGTGCGAGTAACCAGTCTTTCCATTAGTACTACTTTTTTTGAAAATCGACAAAGTAGTTATCGAGAAAAGTGTAAAATTCACTGAGGCGATACAACAACTGAAGGATAAGAACATCATGAAGCTCAAAAATTAGTAAACAGAACTTCGAAAGATGTTAAAATTGACTAAAGAAGTGGAATTTTGTTCAGAAGTATGTTGTTTCATGTTTAAACTAGCATATCCAACGCGGCAAAGCTGCTTCGACAAACAGATCTTGCTGATATTCTAAAACATGACGCAATATTAAACTGAGAGACAGTCAAAGAAAAAAATGAATGGGCGTAACGTTTCTGACAGTTGCACCGCACCTTCTTCTTCTTGACTTCTCCGAGCTTAACACTTTTGAACTTCGCGTATTGCAAAAACCAATTTTGTATTGTTGGCTTTACTTTTCTCTGCTTTATCGTTTGGAGTTCAAAAGAGTTTGAGAAATATTTTTAAATATAGAAAACGTCGTATCTCGAAAACAGAATAAGTTTAAGCTATCAGACGTATGTAGGCCATATCTGCAGCTGCTAGGAAAACAATGACATCAACCCCTAAAGGGTCGACCATTTCAAATTTTGAGAAGTACTTTTTTTGAAATTCAGTGTTTAAAGTATCGAAACACGCCTCATCTTGGAAACTAAAAAGCCGTTGAGCAGTCGAACTTGCCGGCCAGATAAGAAAAGCCTGAGTGTACCGTGACAGCACCCCACCATGGATATTAGCATTTCTAACTTCGACAATATTTTATAAATATAAAGTTTGAACAAGGATTAAAAAAAACAATATTTCTTGTAAACTGATAGGTTTTGAGCAATCATATTGGTAGGCAAAATTTGCAGCCCCGGGGAGAATCTTGTCAGTAATCAATTTTAGGGTGGGGCATCTCAAATTTTTGCAGTTTTTAAAATCTAAGTTCTTTTTGAAAAAAATTCAAAAACTATAAAAACGTCATATCCCGGAACACAGAAGGATTTAAGCAACCACGTTTGAAGGCAGTAAAATCTGAGAGCACTTTGACAGAACACCACTATAGGGTTGGAAACTTTAAATTTTAAGACGCTTTTTGTAACTAAGTAAGTTTTGTATAGTTTATCAAAAGTCGTAAGAAACGCCATATCTCGAAGTTGAAAAGATTTGAGCAGTCATATTTCGAGGCAAGATTTGCAACTCTTGGGAAAACTCTGACATCATCCACGATAATATGGCTTATTTCACATTTTGAAGTTTTTAAAAATTTCTCAATCAAAAAATGTTAAAAAACGTCGTACCTCTAAAACTAAATCTTGAGCAACCACATTTGAAGCTAAGATTATTAAATCCTGACAGTATCATTTTATAGAGTTGGGAACTTCAGACGCCGCAATAGGGTTGTGAGTTTTTAAGTTAGCGCAGTGTGAAAATAACAATTTTTGAAAACGTATGGAAAAATCACAAAAATGTTATGAACTAAAAGTATTTGAGCAATTTGAGAGTATTTCGTTGTACATTGGATACAAGATTTACAACCCATGGGAGTACCCAGACAGCACCCCATTATAGGGCTGGTAATTTCGAATTCCATGAAAAAAAACTAAAAGAAAAAGTCGTTACATAATGTAGCCGCATGAACCCTACATTTACATGACGGTCAATGCGCTGCCCTTCTCCCCTCCCATGCCGGATAGTATAGCTTAAACATGGGGAGATAGGCAGACGCATTTAAATATATAATAGATTAATTCAAAAATTTTCAAAAAGGCCGTTGACTTAGGGCATTCAAATATTGTTTCCAGTGTTATCGATCAAAAAAGAACCACTGGACATTTTTAATGAAAAAAAACGTTAATTGGGCCGACAGAATTAAAGCCGACAGTCAAAAAGCTAAAACTCGGCCAAAAACTCTGTCAAAAAGATCATACTGTACAAATTTGCATGAACGCCCGCATAGGATCCACGATAGCTATTTAAGTAGTGTAAGCAAAGTGGACTACAGAATTTGGAACCTAAACCGACATAGCTTAGGTCGACAGTTTGAAGCCAAAAAATCATCAGAAAATTAATATCGAAACTCTATATATTAGCATGTACCATTAAGGACTAATACCCAGTAGCTAAACTTGAATTTTCATGAAATTGAGCATGTCACCATAGTCCGCAGCAAGTGATTCAACTGATTTTGTCAAACTAGTTGTTAACCCGAAAAAAGTCTATTTTCCGATTTGATTACGCTTGCCCATCGCAAGCGGAATAAAACCTGTATTTTTTTATCAATATAGCCAACAGACTTCACCTTTTAAACTTCAAAGGAAAAAACATCTATGGTCTTTGAATTTTAAGAAAAAATTATGGTTGACACTTTTTTGATGAAATAAACTCAATTTGAGAAATCTGGATTAATAAGTAAGACCTTTCTCTTCCGCAAGAAAATCTTTAAAAAAACACTTCCGTTAGCAGCAGTCTATCACGTTTTTCACGATAAGAGTCTTCACTACGTTAAGAGGTTAAGAGACTTTTAATGACAATTGGAAAAGTTGACTTTATTCCACATTTTTAAGTAAACAGGGGTCAAATAATGATAGTAAGATCCCTGATTCCAGTTGAAAATTTGAACCCAGTCGAACTAAACTTTTTTCTCTACAAAATTTGTTTCTCTTGCATAATTTAGTTTTCTATTGTTCAGTTTGTGAGATAAAAGAAAAAAGGCTTTCTATTTTAATGAATTTCTGAAATAACGGAGTTGGGAAAATTACGGTTTAGTCATAGCAAAATTTGT